CTCCAGAGGAATGTGGTACCAATCTATCGTGTCCGGAGGGTAGAAGGCTCGGTTGGCCATTTGCAACTACACCACCTCCGCCTCATTGAATTTAACTTGAAAATGGAAGAAGAAGAAGAAGAAGGGAGAGGTCACCTGTAGTCACTTGGAGGTAGGGAAGGCGGTGTGTCGCCTAGCGTAGACATGTTGACCTCAGATATAATGCGTAGTGCCTCTTTACAAGCGTGATACATTCGAAGCATTTCTTCCCTTTTCTGTGCCTCCACCTGTGATTCTTCCATCAAGCTGTCCTGGAAAAAAATAAATACAAGACTTACTTCAAAAAGGTCGAATACCCGCAGACACTACGGGATGTCTTCTGGAGTCAACAGAGCAGAGATAAAGGTTTCCCCCTAGTCGAATGAAAAATCAGTCGAATATGCGTGAGGCTGTTCACACGGCTGCTTCTTTTGCCTAACTACTTGCCCTTTGCAGATTTAAAAGTTATATAAAAGCGTTAAAGTTGCTAAAAACGCGACGTTACTCTACAAACAACAGGTGGGTGCAGAATATAAAGTATTAGGTTGTCCCAAAAGTTCGTGGAACTTTCCAACATTCTTTGAGTAAAGTTTATTCCAGTTGGGAAGCAATTTGATCAACTATATATGTCACCTTCATTGGCAACTTGTTGCCAATCACTACGCAATGTGTGGTTGCCCTGCTTCCAGAAGCCTCTTGGTTCTGTGCCCAGAAAGGCAGCTGGGTCATTTTTGAGGTACTATCAAAAATCGTATTTTTAACCCAGAAGATGGCCGCTGTGGGATTAGTTTAGATCAATATGCGCGTACGCGGAAGCGGGAGAAAAAGTTGTAGACAGTACCCACATGTGCTCCCCTTGGAGTATTGGTCAACTCATGAGAAAAATTTTGACTGCAACTTCAGAACTTTTCTAAGGAAGCAAGGCCTTCTCTCATTTGTGCTTTGGGACCAGTCAAGTGTAAGGAATAGATAGCAAGTTGATTTGTACGTATTGGTTTTAATCAAGGAACACAGTAGGTCCAAATCCAAGGCAGGTGGCCTCCTTGGACGAAGTTTTTCACCCGGATAGAAGTCACTAAAGCAGAAGCAATTGAGCCATTCCAAAGCCGTACTGTGGAAGCTAACATCAAGATCTAAATAAGGGAAATGCCGCTTATGGCTCCAACCACGTTGTGGCTTGGTAGAGATTCATATAGCGAAGTGTGTCGAAAATGATGAATTTCAATTACCGTTTTTCATATGAGAACAGCGACTGCGAGGGACGGTGAAGAAGCTGTGGGATGCTTACCTAACACACTTCCCATAGACCACATAACTGGATCTCGAAATGGCTGCGGAAAGATCTGATACGAGATTCAAAAAATGTCCACGAACTTTTGGGACAACCTAATATTTCTGAAGGATGTAAAGCATACATACATATTATTTGCATTTTTACCTGGTGGGTATCTCCATATGGATTTAACACGGATCTAAGCATCAGATAGTCAATGTCTTGTTCCTTGTGGATGAAGGGGTGTGACAGGCGGGCCCGTATTCCACCAGTTGTTGAAGCGAGCAAGCAGCAAGACTGTACCACGTTGTTTGCACTGCACTTTGCACCAACTGCTGTTGCTTGCCCGCTTCAAAAACCGGTGTAGAACGGGTAGGGAGCAGGAGTCAAACAAACTCCGCCTAACACGCCCTTTGATACGCAGCGAACAAGACTGCATGATGAAAATCAACGATCAGGTTGGTCGGTATATCCTACGGCACAAATGACGAGAAAACCATGCTGTATATCTCCACACCATACAGTGCACTTGCACTATAAAATAAAGCACTGTAAACGTTTTAAAAACTCACCGTATCACCGCATTGGTAGATATGAGCTAACAACTCATCGTGCATGAATTGCGTGACCTAAAGGAGGCTGTTTTAGGCGGAATTGACCATAAGTAAATAGGTAACCTACTTGTGATACAATGAGGTGCATGATGGCCTTCGGTACAAGGTCTTTGATTGTCTTCGTGATAATCCGCATGTATGAGTCCACCAAATTTCGAATAGTTTCCACCTTAAAAATATGAAGAGAACCTTCAATTATGGTCAGAAATTGGGCGCGATGAAGGGCATTTTGCGAGCTTCTAACAACATATAAACAGGGTACAGCATCGTGATGTGTGTAATGGTGGTGTCAGTACGACCCCTTCGAAGAAGGGTCTCGGCACGAATCCCAACACCTATCTACCACTTTATTATAAGTTACCTGCTTCTTACATCTTTTTCACCCAAAAATTTCCGTCGAGGGGGGGGGGGTAAATAGCAATGTGAAACAGGAAAAACCGCGAAAAATCAACAACCCGGAGAAATTTCCTCCCAACGTGGCAAAT